TTGACGGTGGCGAGAAATAAAGATAGTTGATATTTATTTTGATAAAAGAAATGGATTAAAAATTGAATTCTTGAATAGTAAAACGGGTAGTTTCAAGAAATTCGACTTCAATTCAAATAATAATAATAATAATAATAATAATAATAATAATTTTTTTTTTCACATTTGGAGTTTGAAGAAGCAAAAACACATTTTTGATTTAACATATCATACTAAGGTAACTTGATACTTTATTTGAATCATCTGAAACAAAATGCAAATGGAGAAACCCATGAAGGCAAGAAACTAAATGCAAATGAAGAAACCCATGAAGGCAAGAAGCGATTGAGGCTACCAAGCACTTCTTTGAAGGTAAAAATGGTGATGTTCTTCACCTGTCGCAAAATGCTTAGAACATTATGTTAGTAGTTGATTACTGACAATTCTATGCTTTTAGGTTTTAATTAGATTAAATTACATTACAGGTTCTCAAGTATAATTGATTTTTTTCATTTTCTATAAACTTTTCTCTTTTAATTTAAGTTCACATTTGACGTTTTCATTACATTTTTTTCCCAAGGTGTTACTGATTTTGTACTATAAGATGATTTTTCTTTACACTTATTTACAGGTATTATGTATGAACTTCCTAAAGGATCAGTTTTTTTGTCTTCTAGGATCCAATGGAGCTGGGAAAACCACTGCGGTTAATTGCTTGACAATGATCACACCGGTCACCTGAAGGAGATGGTATTGTGTTCTTTTAGTTTAGATTAATACCTTTTACACTTTATCTTTTATGTTAAATCAGATTAGATTAACTTAAACGTCTTATGAAAAGCTCTCATATATCAACATTCCATCCGAATCTTTGTTTTGGCAGGATATAGAATTGAATGTCACATACAATTGAACTTGATAATAAACATCAGCAGTTTTATATATTTACTATATCCGGTCTCTCACATTGATAAATTTTTAATCATTCTAATTTTTAGTTTGATTTTGTTTAAATTTTATTATGTTTTTAATTGTTGTACTTATGCTCATAAACTTTCACAACTTGTATTTCAGTTATAGCATTTTATTGTTAAGTGTTAAAGATTCATACATTTGCTGAGCATTCATGAGGAAAGCTGTCATTATGAATAACTAAATGCCGATGTAGGAATAAATATGGAGAATATTTGTGATATAACAAAAAAGAAAAGGCTGTTTGAAGAAAATGAACAAGGAAAAATGGATTTTGGAAAATGACCAAAGGATCCGCAGAGCATCCTCTGCGGATCTATTAGCTGTTCTGCGGATCCGCTACACCTTTGCGGAATTGTTGTTTTTTTATTTTTTTTCATTCATTTTCGTTTATTAATATATATATATATATAATATATATATATATATATATATATATATATATATATAAATACACTAATACCTTATGTGATTATATAAATAATTTGACAAAAAAATTGTTAAAAATAATGAACTTATGTTCGATATCAGTCCACATAACTGTTTGGGAATCCACAGAACCGTTATCAGCGGATCAGTGTACACCCCTGCGGATCAGTGTACACCTCTACAGATCAGTGTACATTGTCTGCGGAACCATTAAATGCTCTACAGATCCTCTACAGCTCTGCGGAATTGCTGTTTTTTGATTTTTCTTTTCGTTTTTTTGTTTTTTTGCGTTCATTTTCATTTATTAATATTAATTTTTTTTAATATACTAATAGCTTATGTGATTATGTAAATAATTTTACAAAAAAATGTTAAAATTAATAAACTTATGTTTGATATCAGTCCACAGAACTCTTTGGGAATCCACCATCAGCGGATCCATTAAAGCCTGTGTGAATCTAGCTACAGCTCTGCGGAATGTTGGTTTTTTAATTTTTTTAATATTTTTTTTGTTTTTTTTTTTTTTTTTTGCATTCATTTTCATTTATTAATATTATTTTTTTAAATATACTTATACTGTATGTGATTATTATGTAAAAAAATTGATAAAAAAAAGGTTAAAAAAATGAAATGTTTTATGCTGCTAATGTATGTTTTTCATGTATTTGTACTGTTTTGTATTTTATATTCTATGGAATAAAGTAAAAGTTAACTCAACTGGTTTTGTAAATAACCTAATACAAACGAAATACATATAAATAATGTAATACAATAATTAGTGTACACCTTTGCGGACCAGTGCACACCTCTAAGGATCGGCGTACACCTCTGTGGATCAGTGCACACCTCTAAGGATCGGCGTACACCTCTGCGGATCAGTACGCACCTCTAATGATCAGCGTACACCTCTGCGGATTAGTGTACACCTTTAAAAATCGGTGTACACCTCTGAGGATCAGTGCACACCTCTAAGGATCAGTGTACACCTCTACAGATCAGTGCACACCTCTAAGGATCAGTGTACACCTCTGCCGATCAGTTATAGAAGTTATAGACGTATTTAAGTGGTTATTTGTGAGTTTGTGAGTTTCAATTACTAGTAGAAGTTGTTTTTTCGTTGTGTTTGTAGAGAGTGATTTGTAAAATGAGTTTTATTATTTTGAGTACGGGAGGGTCGTGGCAGTTAGTTAATAGAGTTGAGGTTTACGTTAGAAATAATGTGAAAAACTATGGTTTAAATCTTCCTCCTAACATTAACCATGAAATGTTATTACAAATGGTTAGAAGTAAGGCCGGTGTGTTAAATAGTCATATATGTTTGTCTTTTAAACACCCGGAGTTAGGATATATCATGGAGCTTCGAGATGAAACTGATGTATTTCAATTAAGACATGTAATGTCCGAATCAAAGAAGACGGTGCATTTGTATTTAACGGTGGTATGAAGAACAAGCAGTGGTTAACAACCAGTTTAATCCAACAAAAACTAATAGAGGTCGTAGAGAAAGCCAATGTGATGGAAACAGTTCAAAGGGAAGAGGAGATGACACATTTGTATCAGATAATGATAAAGAACCAATAGTGGGCATGACTGAATTACAACGTGAAAATTTGTTCGAGTTTGGAGAAGTTCCTGAAATTGATGATCGAAGATGTGAGAAAAAATCAAATGAAGGGTGGTCGGATGATGAATACACGCAACGAAAAACTGCTTTTAAACCATGGTATTGTATTCCTTCTATTCCTGATTGTCCAAAACCTATTCTTGAACCTGGACTATTTCACAATTTAGGTCCGAATGATAAATTAATTATCAATAAAAACTATAACACCAAAAAAGAGCTAGCTTTTGCTGTTAAATTCAAAGCTGTTAGAGAAAAGTGTCAGATAAAGGTTGAAAAATCTTCAAAATCTCGGTACCAGGTTGTTTGTAGGCAAGAAAACTGTCATTGGCGTTTATACGCATGTGTCATTAAAGGAACATAAATGTTTGAAATTAAGACGTTTAATGACGAGCATACATGTTCTTCATTGCTTATACACCCAAATCATAGGAAAGCAAATAGCGAAGTTGTGGGAACCATAATACATAACATTATGGGTCAAGGAAGTTTGAGAGTTTGGAAGCCAAATGATATAATTAGAGATATGAATGCTTTGCTACAAATAAATATGAGTTATTCACAAGCGTGGCATGCTAGCGAATTTGCTTTGGGATTGATGATGTGGACCCCTGAAGAAAGTTTCTCCAAACTTCCAATTTATTTTCACAATCTAAAGAAACATAATCCTGGTACTGTGGCGTACATAAAAACTGATTCGGATGATCGTTTTGAGTATTGCTTTTTTCCTATTGGATGCGCAGTAATATATTTTTAAATATATTTTCTATTATCTTAAATGTTTATAAACAATTTATATTGTTGATATATTAATTGTTTTTATATTGTTGTCGCGGATACGTGCTTTCAGAGAGTGTTGTAGAAAAGTTATTATTATGGTGGTGCTCATTCAAAGGGAAAGTACAAAGGCACCATCTTGCTTTCAGTAGCCATGGATGGCAGCAATCAGATCTTGCTTATTAGGTATGGAATTTGCCCAAAAGAGACTACAGATTCTTGTACATGGTTTCTTGAAAAACTACATGAATGCATTGGTGATCTGGAAGGTCTGACAATGGTCACAGATAGAGCACCCGTAATTGCTGTAAGTATTAATGCTCAACATGGATGTGTGGTTTTCATCTAATAGGAAACATAATCCAAACCTTTGGAAAAAACAAAAAAATAGCAAATTTTGTTTTGGAAGCTGGTAAGAGCTTACAAAACCACTAAGTTTGAATTTTATTAGGGGAGACTTCGTAATATAAGAGATGATGTAGCGACATATCTCAGTCAAATTCCACGTGAGAAATGGACCAGAGAGTATTGCCCTACCACAAGGTATGATTATATGACCTCAAATAGTGCGGAGTCCATGAATGTTGTATCAAATAAAGCAAGGAAGTTACCTATATTACCACTTCTTGAGTTCTTTCGTGCACTTATGCAGAAATGGTTTTACAAACGGCGGATGGCTGCAGGTATGATTATGTTTAATTTTAAATTATATGATAAATGTCATATATAATAATATATGTTTGTTTTAACAGAAAAAAAGTACAACAATACTTACGAAGTGGGCTGATGATATGGTTAAAAAAAATAAAGAGGGGATTCAAGGATGGTCGATATCCGGTGTTGACAATACAACATATCAAGTGCATGACTTCAAAAGTGGCGGCATAGTGAATTTGAGGGAAAAGACTTGTTCTTGCAGATATTGGAAACTAACTGGTTTGCCATGTGGTCATGTGAGAATGGTTTTAACGCACTTGAAAAATGATCATTGTGGGCATTTGGCTATAGATGCTTATAAAATTGAAACATATCGAAGAACGTACGAGCAGACCGTATACCCTCTTTCAGAACTTAGTGATTGGGAGGTTCCGGATGACCTTATGGTTGTTAACCCTCCTGTGATGGAAATACCTCAAGCCGGTAGACCAAAAAACACCAATCGTATTCCATCTTAAGGTGAGGAGCTAAAAATAAGAAGGTGTACTAGATGCCACAGCACAACTCATAACGCAAGGACATGTAAGGAAATCGTTCCAAAGAACCAAAGTAAAACTAAAAAACGTACTGGGGCTTTAGGGAGTGGGACAAAGGCGACAGAAGAGGAACAGACACAAGCGACCAAAAACCAATGGCAGCATGAGTCAGAGAACCAATGGACACAACATACCGAACCACAATGGGAGCAGCAGCCAGACAACCAAATGGACACAACAGACCGAACATCAATGGCAGCAGCATCCAGACAACCAATGGACACAACAGACTGAACATCAATGGCAGTAGGAGCTACATAACCCATGGGCGCAAGAGACCGAATACCAACCGCAGGAAGAGCAACAGAACCAATGGCAGGGTTGCACCGAGTACCAATGGCAGCAAGAGCCAGATAACCAATGGACGCAAGAGACAGTAAACCTAGGGACAAAAGCACAGATAACCCATGGACAAAATACAAAAATAGATCAAAGTTTTCGTGGTTCGATTTGAATGAATAAAGTTTATTTCAAAGTATGTTTATTATGAGGGTTGTATATTTATGTTTTTTAAGGTATGTTTTCTAACCTATAAAAAACATGGAATATTTGTATAATTTTAATTAGGTTATTTATATGCATCGGTTTGTATTACGTTATTTATATGTATTTTGTTTGTATTAGTGTATTTAAAAGAAAAATTAATATAAATAAATAAAAATTAATGCAAAAAAAAGGGAAAAAAAAAACCTTTTTTGTCAAATTTTTTACCTAATAATAACATAATGTATTAGTGTATTTAAAAAAAAATATTAATAAACTAAAATTAATGCAAAAAAAAAAAAAAAATTACATTTCGCAGAGGTGTAGCAAATCCGCCGAGGGCTTAATAGATCCGCAGAGGTGTTCTGCGGATCATTTGGTCAAAAATAAAAAAAATAAAAAAATACTACATTCCGCAGAGGTGTAGCAAATCCGCAGAGAGATTAATAGATCCGCAGAGGGTGCTCTGCGGATCCTTTGGTCATTTTCTGAAATGTGTTTTTCCTTGGTTATTTTCTTTAAACCACCTATTGTTTTTGGTCACTTTCTGAATTTTCTCATAAATATGTCGTAATTACCTTTTTACCTATCTAATGGATCTAAATTGGCATCCATTTAACGACATCATCAGTGGAGAAGAGGAGTGCAAGATACGATTATGATTTTAATTAACATATATAAAACTTCATTAAGTTTTTTATTGTTGATATTATAGTGGTGTGATAGGAAGTTTGGATAATTCTATGTTTTATTGATAATAGCAATGTACTTGATTCTTACGCTCATCTGTTTTTTGCAACATGACATTTTTTGTATTGAACTCTTCTTGCAGCTTGAAGTGTCAATCATATTCCAAATCCTATGGTTTCTAGAACAAGGTTTAAGGCATTTATTCTACTTTTCATAAAGCAAGGAAGTCAATGTCGGTAGGCGAGGGTAATTCCAGTCTATGAATTAAAAGCTACAATGAACAGTGGAACGGAATGAATCATTCTATTCCATTGTCGTATTTACTTGGCTAAAAATAAGAAGAATGTATTTTTCTTTGTTTGTGTATTAACTTATACCATCCTACTTCTATATATCCTTATACCATCCTACTTCTATATATCCTTTGTTTGCGTAAACTGCAATTACAATTTTTTTGTTATTATGTTTTCTATATATCATCATAGATACTTCTATGTTACAACCAGCATGATCTTTCCAAAAATATAGAATACAAAGACTTTATAATCAATCGACTAAAAAAAATACAAATCTGACCCAATAATACGGGATCACTCATCTAGTTACTTTTAACCTACAAATAAAATGTATTTTTGAATAACAGTTCTTTTAAATAATATTTTTTTCTTAGTCGGTAATATATATCCGTAATTGTTGTTTCTAGCTTTGTTGGTTTTTTGTTTTATTTTTTTTAGCAACCGAAAAAAACCAAACTACAAAATTGTGTTTTATAAAGCAATAATTGTGTAATTTTGTTTCAAAAATCGTAATTTTCTAACAGAAAAATACAAGTTTTAAAGCTTTTTTTTTGTTATAAACATCCCAAAAAACCATTTTCACAACAAAATAGAGTTTCATATGTGATCAAAAGTCTAAAATTGTCATAAACACAGGGACCGATATGTTAGCAACAAACAAAACACTATGTTACGTAGTGAACATTAAGAAATTGGTAACATTTTATGGGTTAACAAAAATTTTAGCATAACAAAAAATTTAGCTTATGTTGTGGTAAATCGTATGAGAAATGACTACAGATCTGCCATTTTTCTTTTATTTTAAATTTAATTGGTTAAAATGTTTAATTTTCATTTAAGAGACTCATGGTCAAATTTTGAAAATAGCTTTCTTTTATAATTTGCTTCAAATCTTTTTACATAGGGCCTCATTTTTGTTTTTCCCCCGGGGCATTAAAAGCTTGGATTGTCCCCGGTCTCATAAAATATGATTCTTCCGATTGTGTTGTGCATACTGAAAAGTTTAGACGATAGTTCTGAATAAGGAAAGAGTTATTTCTACACAGTGTTCATGAATTGCACAATCTGTTTCCATATTTTTAATTGAAAAATGGGATGCAAGATCTTTCTTGCAAAGACGCACAATATATATTCTTTGGGTCTGACATACATTCTTTGGTCACACGGGAGCAATCAATGATATCATTTTTCTTGACTAGTTGTCAGTATTCAACAACATCTATATTGGAAAGGTGCACGGTGTGTCTTTTCAAGCAAATGGAGTAGCATATAAGTGTGGGGTACAATCTTATTGATTGGATATATCTTAACTTATATATCTATACCAATTCGTTCAAATGTACAAACGAAGAAAACATAGTAAAGTTTAAGGCGACACACGCATCTAAGAAGGATGTGAAACGAACATTTGGTGTCCTTAAGACATGTTTGTATATATCAAAACTCAAGGCATGGTCATGTAAGGTCAAAATGTTGCAAAACATAATATCTACCTTCATAATAATACATATTATGATCTTAGAAGATGAAGGAAAAGTGATATGTCACTATGATGAAAATGAAATTTTGTCAGTCTTCGAAGGTGTAAATGTTTGTACACCACAATATATGCGAAATAGGGAAATACATGAACAAAATATGCATCACATCATTTGCATTGATTTGGTGAAACATATTTATAGAGCTAACATGCATCCTAGGGTCAATGAGTGATACAATGATTTGTTTGAATATTCAGTTTTGTTCATTGAGGATTCTAGTGAGTATTCGAAAGAAAATTTGTCATGATGTAGTTATTAATTTATTTTTATATTTTGTTTTGTTTTCTTATTTTTATTATGTAGTTTTTATATTCATGTTATGCAATATTATCACTTTTATTATTTTTGTGTTTAATTATTTTTTTATTAATGTTTTTAACTAGTTAAATTATAACATTTTAATTTAACTTTAAAAACATGAGGGGGAGTGAAATGTGACCTGATGTGAAGTTATTCCATGAGATGACTTTATTAGATGGATTATTTTGTGGTCGAGCCCTAGGAACACAATCAAAAGAGAAAGATATCACTCGTCCTGCTTCGGGAAGAGATTCTCGAAGAATGCTCCAACAATCAAGTTAGTTTCTAATGGAAGATTGTAGTATATGAGTATCATAGTATTTGAGTATTATATGAAAATTACCCTTTTCATATGATTGTTAGCCTAATATATAGTAAGGCTTGAGTGGATGCATCTTCTTTAGGAAACAAAAGTATTACTCCTGAAGGGGGACTATAAAGTTGATTCATAGATGCATCTTTTATTTCTTACTCTGAGCCGCGATTAGCTCAAAGAGTATGTTGATAGTGGTGTGTGCACTACTTCTATTATCTACAAATATTGATTTGCTGCAAGGCGACTTTCCTCCCGTCATGTCCGACCAGAGACTGAGTTATAGGGTCGGTCTAATAGTGTTAGCATGACACAGGTTGGCATACCTATTGGTAATATTTCTAATAGTAGAGTCCCAGATCATATTGGTAATATTAATTAAAATAAATTAGTTTATTAATTTGCTTTCTTAGGATAAATTATTTAGAAGTTAATTTAGATTTAATTATAATTTAGTTAATGACAGGGACTAGATGTTAATTAACTAAAATTGTCACATCCCGAAACCGGAACGACGGAAACGTTCGGGGGTGGAGGACATCATGTACATTATCACAACAATTGCATCATAGTAATCAAAGTAAACATAACCATTACATTGAAATATAGGTATATACATCTGTTTGTTACATAGTTTGTATACATCAAAAGTATAACAAAAATATAAAAGATGTGACTTTATACGCTCCGTCTTCTCAAAAGCCTTCTAGAGTACCTATCTACTGATTTCCTGAGAATACAAGCGATTTTTGAAAGTGTATCAAAATTAAGCTGGTGAGTTCATAAAAATGTCTTTGTAATGAAAACCTGTCATTGAATATGTATAAAAATATTTCTATGTTTCCCAAGAAAATCCAATGTTTTCTAATATATGTATTTGTTACTGTGTTCCATAAAGTATTAGTTTGCATGCTTGATTACTACCAACTATATCGTATATCGTTGTTTTGATTGAAAACCCTTTTTTATATGAAAACCCATGCTACCACCAGTATGTATAAAATGTTCTGTTTGAAAACCCTAGTTACCACCAGTATGTATAGTAGTTTTGTTAATTAAAATAAAACTAATGAAGAATGAAATCCTGTAAACAAAGGTTAGTTTATACTATAGTGAGTCGTATAACCATGTTTGATATGACTAGTGACTTCTACAACATTCTTCAGGCGTTGGACGGTATGATATTTCTCACCCTAGGAATGTCTGCCTAACTGTAGCTAGCAGTTCAGGTGTGGGATTGTCAGTCCTGAATAGATCAATTCACAAATCTCACGCTCTCCCTCCAAGAGAATTTGGTTACACTAAATGATAAGATTTAATATGTACTAGAAAGCTTACAAATGAAGAGTTGTCTTATAGTCCTGTATTAACTAGTTTACGTGTAGTTCTTTATTGTTCGGTGGTATTTGAATCTATATGTATACCTTGTAGAGTAATAATAATTATACTTAAATAATTATCTAATGTTGTACTCTTGATATCCGAAAGTAGTAATGTAAATCATAAAATAAGTTTATCATAGTTTATATGTGTGTTAATGTATAAGCTCTGAATTTGTAAAACTGTGTATTGAAATCCAAAATTGTACCTATTATAGTTTGCGTGTTTGTTATGTACTTGGTTCGTGTATTGATCTGAAATGTATGCAATTATGATTGTAAGTTGGAAACATCCCTCATGCTCAACACGTTACAAAAAGGTTAAAATATCTAAATATTTTAGAAAATCTGGAAATCTTTTGGTTGATTCATTTGCATAAGTATTAAACCTGTTGAAATCCTTTTGTATAAATTTCACAAAAATCGTTTGTGTTTGACTTTTATCCCCCCTGAAAACGTTAAAAATTTATAAAAGCGTAAGGGTATGAAATCACTGTTAGTTGCGTGAAAGTGTCGGACAACGAAACTGTAAATGAAGACCCTCGGGTTGATGTACGCGGCACTTAACGGGATCCTAACAACAATTAAATACATATGTGCATTTTATTAGCGAAACCATTAATTATAGTATTGGAAAAACACTTGCTTTTGGTTAAGAAATGTTACCGGGACTCAACTGAATTGTACAAAGTGGGTTTTCAGCCAAGTTGACAGATAGGGAGAGGTTTGCGGCCGTGAACTGATTTCGGCCTTTAAAGATTTGAAATTTTGAAGGGTTTGCGGCCGTGAACTCAAGAACAAGATGCTTGATTTGATGAAAAACGCGTTTTTAGAGGCTCCCCAACAACACCCAAAGGTGATTTTTGATGATATCCAGAAGAAAAGTGGGTATTTTTGTTTTTGCGGTTGAGAGGTTAGAGAGAGAAGGTATTTTTTATCGACCAGAAAAATATAAATGAAGGGTGCGTGCACATATTTATAGGTTGGATTCATGGTTAGCAGTGGGGGCCACTAGTCGTGAAAAGGTTTACGGCCGTGATCGGCCACAAATAAGTGTGTAAATCTCATATTTCTTAGTGTTGCAATAATTTTATAAACATCAGATACTTGTGTACATATGAATAGAATTATAATATGCTTTCGTTGCCATAGATAATTTGTTAGTGTATTTAAAAGCTTTCATATTATTGTGTAAATTATACTTGGGCGCTGACACAATTAGTATTTTGGAGTGGCATGAGGACACACTATCATGACTATTTTTTTGGTTTTGAAGAGCGATGGGAAAATGAGAAGGCATTGAGAAAAAAATGAAAGGTGAAAGAATACCACACCCTCCGGTCTCACTAAATCTTTCAGGACTTCAGTAAAATATTATTTCTAAGTTATGACATCCCCAATTTTACAGTATGAAAAAGATTTTCTCTTTATGTTTATTTTAAATAGCGTATTCTTTTATTAGTGTGGAATTTGTCCCAAAATATTATTTAATGTCTGATAATATCACTATCATAGGATTTCCAAAGAAATGTTTTTTATTAATATTTAAAAACATGGGATGTCATAACCGATACAAAACCATATATATCACTATGCCTATACTATCATACCACTAATTATGATAAAATAAATTAAGTGGATTAGGCTTGAGAGCCTGATGAAAACATAGGTTTTCCAACCCACAATAATATAATTAAATTATTAAATTTATATTTCACACCAGACAATTAGCCCGATTACCCATACATGTTATTCTCACTCCATAAACCTAAAATGATGATCTCGAGGGAACTATCCTAAAGGATCATTCTAAACAAAGAGTAGACAATATTACTTCAATAATTCTTTAGCAATACATGTTAATAAGGCAACCATGAAGGGATAGAGTACCTGAATGAACTCACAGTTCATTAACACCTATAGGTTGTGAACCTACAAATGTTCCACAAGATTGTGTAGAATATCCAATGGTCATCATCTATACCCTCATATATGATTCGTCATAGTGGTAAAATAGTATCGTAGTTACAGTCTCACATTATTATTTCACACAATCCTTCACTACCCAATATAATTGTAAGTATCATAAATATACAATTTAATCATATCATGTTGCTTTATCTAACATATATACATGTAAAGAGCACATATAACATTTAAACATTTAGAATACTTGTATCTATGTGTAAATTGAAAGTAACTATGAACTCACTTTTTAGAAGTGGATGACTTGTGATTAGATCAATGCTTCGCTTAACACTTTAAATTTTCTTTTAAAAAGACCTAGATATAAATATCACTAAGTCTTACTCTTTGTCTTATATTTCTCATGACTATGATAACGATAGTCTAGATTCCTCCTTAATAATTTCAATGACTACATCAAGATCTAGCAAATAATGAATAACTTGGTAAGATCAAATAGGTGGTAGGATCCTTTTGGTATACATAGCATACTTTTTAGAAAATCCACTTTAAACGCCTCACTAAATCTAGCATTGACATTACCCCCGTAAGTAGATCAATAAGTATTATGACATGGAATCACTCATAAATCTTATTTATAAGTTCATAATAACGACTATGAATACGGATATAAGTTACTCTTAAAGCATAGTAACTGTAGCTAAACTTACAAAGTTTTCTAACAAAAGTCCGGAAAGTTAGCAGGCATAACTCCGATGTAACAATACAAAAATCCAGATAATTTTTTTTTCAATTTTAAAATATGGTTGACAACCATTAGTTTGATACTAAGGATCCATTGCATAAAAACCATCATACAAATCATCAGAGGGTCCATATCAATAAATGTAGAAAATAGTGGAGAAAGGGCATGTTGCGCCATCAAGTCGGGCCATTACCTTTAGAACCGGAAGTACATGAAATCAAAATACAACTATAAGCAAATGCTTAGTGAGTTTCCTTAAAATAAATCAAGCAAAACATACAAATGGGCCCAACCCTGGTTTCAATACGAACCTAAACGAATATTGGCCCTTGCCCTAGGGTATATTTCAACCCAATAAATCACCGTGGGCCCCGCCCTGGGTATATTTCAACCCATCATATCATACTGGGCCCCCGCCTTGAGGTATATTTCAACCCAAACACATCATATAGTATACAACAACTAACATGCAACATTATAATTATTGGGTTGGCCTTGGTGCCTTAGACCCAAAGTTATGGTGAGAAGACTCACCTCAACTGCTGAAATCCTTAGTAAATGCTTGGGCTACGGTATAGAAGAGTCCTCACACTATATAACAAATAACCCAAGAAAAAATTTGGGTCTGAACTCCTATGTTATAGGTCCAATAACCAATCTCATATTAGGCTTAGCAACTCATGGTCTGAAAATAAAGATGGGCCCTAAGGCCCAAATAGCCTACTTATGGTCCAAACCAAAACCCTAAGGCCCCTTCCCTTAGACTAGGCCAAATCCCAAAATCCCATGCAAGTCCCAACAACTCAAGTCCAAACTACAAGATGTCTGGGCCGTACGCCCAGCGTACGCACTGGTACACTCGGCGTATCTAGACCGGAAGCAGTACACAAGGTGTACATAGACGTACGCGCCACCCTAAACAAAACTCCATGCAATGACTTAATGCATTAAAATTTTACATCCAAACCCCTAATTTGAACCCCTTAAGACCTCTAGGACTATAAAGTTGCAAACTTTAAGCCCTTGCATGGATACAAAATTCCCACGGACAAAAATCAAGCCTATTAAGTCCTTTCCAACATCTTATCTTTAGAATAAGGACCTCAAATCTTGAACCTTTATGAATTGAGATGTCTAAACATGCCTGGGAATGCATCTTAAAACCTTGGGAGTAGCTCATACTCACCAAGATCTAACCCTTTAGGTTAAAAA